TCCTTTTCTTTTGACTCCAGTCAAAAAGAAAAGAATGGTCTTTAGTGAAGCGGGGTCTCCAACCTTGGCAACTTCAAGCTGTGGGCTTGTGGACTTCAACTCCCAGAGTTCCTCAGCCAGCAAAGCTCTGGGAGTTGAAGTCCACAAGTCTTCATGTTGCCAAGGTTGGAGACCCCTGCAGTTTAGTGTGTACAGAACAAAAGTTGTTAGTGATGGTCAGGGATAGGCTTCAAAAATTTTAGCAAGGGGTTCTCTGCCTGGTTGCTGGGTGGGTGTGGCCATAGTGAGTGTGACCTAGACCTTCGCGTGCACGCGCCCCTGATTCGCGCATGCGCCTGTCTTCCGCACCTGCGCCCAGCCTTCCGTGCATGTGCTTTGCTCATGCGCGTGCCTTTTATGCATGCGACAGGCCTCAAAAACGTGCCTAAATAGGATGGCATAAAGCCGGGGTGGGGGGGGCGGATCCACCTGCGATTTCTGCTACCGGTTTGGGTGAACTGGTCCGAACCGGCTGAATACCAGCTCCGATCAGGTTGCAATATGGAACACTTAATTTCCTGCCTCGTCTACCCGGAATGTGATGATTGTATAATTATTCTCTCAATCCTAAATTACAGGGGAGGGCATGTATTGCTATGATAAGAAATAGTCCTGACCCAATTAATCTTGAAACCCTCCATCTGCAAACAACAATTTCTCTCTCTCTCTCTCTCTCTCTCTCTCTCTCTCTCTCTCTCTCTCTTTTTTCTTCTGTCATTTTCCAGGCTGGATGTGCTTTACTATTCTGGGAAATCATTCAGATGCTTTGAAAGATTTAGGATTTGCCTAATTCTATAATCCATTCTTGCCATTATTAACAAAATGGGGTAGAAGAAGAAGAAGAAGAAGGGAGGGACGATGAAGCAAGGCGTTTATTGGCTTTGGATGGTGCTCTGTGCCAGGGTTAACCTGAGCAGGTAGCACATCGGAAAATTTGTTTCCCCACAAGTATTCTGTCCCCCCCCTCTCTCTCCTCTCTCTCTCTCTCTCTCTCTCTCTCCCTTCCCCTCCCCATCCGTCACAAAAGAGACAGGCAAAATAAAGGCTTTTGCTATCCTTGGGAATTATGCTGATGTTACCTTCCCACCAAAGGTGCTCCCTATTTTTCTAATTGCATTTTTAAAGTGCTTTCGAATTGCTAGGTTGGCAGAAGCTGGGAAAAGTAACAGGAGCTCACTCCGTTATGTGGCACTAGGGATTCGAACCACTGAACTGCTGCCCTTTCAAACGACAAGCTCAGCGTCTTAGCCACCGAGCCACCGCGTCCCCTTTATATTTATATAACACCCTAATCAAGGACCTACCAAGGAGAAAATCCCATGCCCACCAACACTGGCAGGGCAAAATACTATGTATGAAGAGAGACAAACCCCATACTTACCAGCACTGATGATATTACCTAGTCTGGTCATGAAGAGTCTGCAAACAACCAAATGCAGAGAGCATCAAGGACTCCACTTTAGCCTCTCCTCTCTGAGCTGGCAGGAGCTTTTAATCCATCCGTTGCCGTAGTGTTTATTGCGGCACACTCATTTGGAGTCCTCTTGTGTTATTATTTTGTCTGTCTCCTCGGCAGACTTCGCGGCAGGGCTAAAGGAGAGAAAAAAAATCTGGGTCTTGCTTTGAAAAGAAGTCTGGATGAATCTTTTTTAGTCAAGTCTTCAGATCCCCTACCAGAAGGTCACGGAGAGTTACAAAGCTTGTTCAGCCAGAGTTAAAAATAGGCTTGGGTGACTCATCTATTCAGCAAACATACAGTATCTGCTTGAGAATCTGCGGTGGATTATTATTGTAATTATTATTATTATTAGAAGATAGAATTGCAACCCAGATGGTGCGATTGTTCTTTTTAGTTCATCATAGCTTCCGTTTTGAAGCTGAGATACTGCTATAGCGATGAAGGAAATTCTGTAGTTGTGCTAAGCCGCAGTCTGTTTTAACCGTAGTCTAGTGAATAAGTAATAATGGCCAAATTTATATAACACACGAAGCCCAACCATAGGAACTACTGTACATTAAAAAGGTAAAGGTTCCACTCGCACATATGTGCTAGTCGTTCCCGACTCTAGGGGGCGGTGCTCATCTCCGTTTCAAAGCCGAAGAGCCAGCGCTGTCCGAAGACGTCTCCGTGGTCATGTGGCCGGCATGACTAAATGCCCAAAGGCGCATGGAACATTGTTACCTTCCCACCAAAAGTGGTCCCTATTTTTCTACTTGCATTTTTTACGTGCTTTCAAACTGCTAGGTTGGCAGAAGCTGGGACAAGTAATGTGAGCTCACCCCGTTACGCGGCACTAGGGATTCCAACTGCTGAACTGCCGACCTTTCGATTGACAAGCTCAGCGTCTTAGCCACTGAGCCACCGCATCCTGTACATCATGAAGAGGCAATTCGTGGACTGCCAAAACTGTACAGGTAGTCCTCGAATTGCAACCACAACCGAGTCCAGAATTTCTGTTGCTAAGCGAGACATTTGTTAAGTAACTTTTGCCTCATTTTATGACCTTCCTTGCTAACAGTTTTTAAGTGAATCGCTGCGGTTGTTAAACCAGTAACACGGTTGTTCATTGAATCCAGCTTTCCTATTGACATCGCTTGTCAGGAGGTCGCAAAATGTGAACACATGATTCCCCGAGACATTGGAACCGTCATAAATGTGAACCAATTGCCAAGCGCCTAATCACATGACAATGGGGATGCTACAATGATCATACGTGTGAAATACAGTCAAAAGTCACTTTGTTCAGTGCGTTGCAACTTCAAAAGTTGTTAAATGAACTGTTTATGGAGCGGCCAATGCTGGTATGCAGGGTCGACTTTTTAGAGTTTGGGGAAGGAGTTGAAACAAGCCTGAGAAAAGCTACCTCGATGAAGTTGGCTTGTTTTAACAGAACATGGTCAAATAATATTATTGATGCGTCATCACTTGACTGGAAGACAAGCAGAAATTTTAGAGGGTGATGGTAGGGGTTGTTATGGAAATTAAGACTCACAAGATTTCCGTGGGTGATCAGAGAGGTTTATTGCGCAAGGTTCAGTGCAAGAAGCAAAGACTGAACAACAAAGGATTCTAATGCAGTTATTCTTATACATACTTTTGACATTTTATGATTGGTTACATTTCTGACAGCCCATAGCGACAATTCCCCCCCCCCTTTTGCTGCTATACCCTACAAGCTTACTAAGGTGTGTCCCCTCTTAAGTGGGTCACAGGTGTTCTTGCAAACCTATCTAAGTTTCCTGCCATTATATCTGTGGTTACCTCTGCTTGTCTAGATGTGATATCTTGCTCATGATGGTGTTTCTTGAACTTTCCAGCTGAGGAGGGTTTTGTTAACTCTGCGGTTTCACTTTTTGAACCTAGTACTAAAGAAAAGGGGCCCTTCAGAGATCCTCTAGACTGACCCCTGTATTATATCACTTTTGTATCTAATTTCATTATTCCATTAGGGTGGATAGCCTTAAGATGTCTCAAGGGTGGATTTTTGGAAGATGAGGACAGAAATGGAGAGAGAGTGATTGGGCCCTTATCATGCATGTGGCAAACCAAGAATTTCACACTATTTGCTGAAGTTCAGATAGAGAGGAGTCCTGAGGTTGAAGCTGACTGCGACCTTCTGACAAGCAAAGTCAACGGGGAAGCCAGATTCACTGAACAATCGTGTTACGAAATCAACAACTGCGAGACGATTCTCTTAACAGCAGTGGCAAGAAAGTCGTAAAATGGGCAAGACTCCCTTAACAGCCGCCTTGCTTAGCAATGGAAACTTGGGGCTCCATTGTGGTCATAAGTCGAGGATTACTTACTACGTCCTCTCCGTTATCTTTTCTCAATTTGTGGCTTCCTCTGCCTCACCTTGTAGGATCTGTTTCCCATCCCTGAATCGCCCTCATTTGTCTTCTTTGGAGGTCATCTAGTTTTCCAGAAGCCTTTTTAAAATGTGGGTATGGACAATGTGTGGCAGGAGAAGGATATTGTAAAATCTCCATTCCCACCCCACTCCGGGGGAAGGTTGCTGCAAAATCCCCATTTCCTCCTGATCAGCTGGGACTCGGGAGGCAGAGAATAGATGGGGGCAGAGCCAGTGGTGGGTTCCTCCCGGTTCGGTCCGGTTCGGCTGAGCCGGTAGCGGTGAAGATATGACGTCACCGAACCGGTTCTCCCCCCCCGCCCTCCCACCCCCCCACCCACGTTATTCTTACCTTTTATTTGGTCCCACCCCCAATCTATTGCTGCCTCCTGAGTCCCAGCTGATGACTAGAGGGAAAAAAACTGTTTAAACTCTTGCCGCTGGGCTTCAAAGGGCCGTCCTACAGCTGATCAGTGTTAAAAGCAAACAAATGAGTTGGGTCGTAAGTGCGAGGACTTGTTCGTAAGTGCGAGGATCTTCCAGAAATGACTCTAACCAGCTAGCCACACCCACCTAGTCACATGACTTCCAAGCCACACCCACAGAATAAGCCACACCCACAGAACCGGTAGTAAAAACATTTAGAACCCACCCCTGGGCGGGGCCAGTCAAAATTTCCGCTACCGGTTCTCCAGAACTGGTCAGAACCTGCTGAAACCCACCTCTGGGTATGAACCCTCGCAGTGGGTTCAGGCCAACGTAGAATAGTGGACTTGCAAGCAATTCCTGACTAATGGTTGAACTTTTAATTCGGAAACAATTCTACCTTTGTTTTTCTACTGAGAATCCCAAAACCGGGCAAGGCAAGATTTATCCTCTCAGGAGTCCCAAATGCTGATTGTACCAGATTTTCTTGTGAAGATTATGAGCTCTAGATCTCAGATTACTGTTTTCAAGCTTTCTTCTAATCCATCGCCCCATTTCTCCCCGAATGCCCCCAAACCTTCCCTGAACAGGTGCAAACTGCCGGAAGAGTACGTTATAAATATGACTTTGGAGCGTTTGATTAAATTTGATTGATTTTTAAACGTTGTCCTTTGTCCGTTGCAGGGTTGTCAGAATGACTATGCGGATGGATGCACAGAGGCAGCTGCAAAACCCATGACCAATTCTTTCAAGGTAGGTTTCTTTGCCAAAACAGAAACGCTTGCAGGGGTGTTCAGCTTAGTGTGGGAAACTCTCCTTGATGGATAAAGAGAGTTATGGACAAGCAAGAATGCTACCAACCTAGAAGGGTGCATTGTGGTTAAACAGGATCCAATCTGGGTCAGTCACCAGGACCAGAGTTTTAGTCTTCCGAACTTTCGGACTCATGCTGGAGTCCATCCTTGGGGAACCAGACTCTACCAGAATGTGTGTGTTGGCCTATTCTATGCGTAGTATTTATGGTTGTATGTGGTTTTTTAAAATTATTTGTTGATTGAGGTGTTGATGGCCAGTTATAAGTCATTGTTTGTTGTTTCCTGGTGCTGCTAAATCCTCGACTCTTAAGTACCTAATAAGCTGGTGGTAAATCAGCATTCCTGTTGACTGACAAGGGGCCAGTTTCCTGGCTTCAGTCATTTCCCTGGCTATTTTTGTACCTGCCCAGCCAACAATCTTAGTAGCTGTGAAATTAAATGGATATCCTTGTTCATTGCAATGTTCTCTTGAGTCTCACAAAGCCCAATTGTTTTGTATCTCATGAAGGACATCCTCCTCCTCCTCTTCCTCCTCCTCCTCCTCTTCTTCCTCCTCCTCATCTTACTCTTCTTCCTCCTTCTCCTCCTCTTCCTCCTCCTCTTCTTCCTCCTCCTTCTTCTTCTTGCCTTTCCATCTGAAAGAACAAAGAAGCTTGTACAGCACCTAGTCCAATGTCCATTTTGGAGGGAAGGGGATTTCTGATACTCAGGACTTTGATCACCTCTTTTTGTTTATTTAAATGGAATAGTTTTTGGCTGCATTCACACAACCCATTGACCTTGGGTTAACAGCATATGACTGCCATATCCACATAACCTGATAACACTCAAACAAACTCCATAGTGGCATCATATGAATCCCTGGTTCCCACAACATGCAAAGAAAACAGCTGGACTGAAATAAAAACAATCCGTTGTGATTGAAACATAATCTAGTACATCGTAGGAACCCAGTTCACATTTCTGAATATGTACTACCAAAAAGAAGGTGCCATTTTATACATTTTTGTCATCTGCCTTCTCATGATCATCAGAACATTTGTTTGAGCCCAGGTCATCTTGTTGAAGTTCCATGAGAAAAATTGTCCCTCGCAACCACACAATTGAACTAAACGATCATAACTTTACAAAAGAATCAGGAACACTTTCCTCTTCAATTTGGCTAGGCCCCAAAATGTTGGAACTAGTTTGAAAAATGGACAAGTCAGCTTTCACATTTCCTCAATTAGGACTCCTGACAAGGAAATGAATCAGTGGTTTCTTATCCTGTCCTTCATATTTTTGCATGGGATGTAAAAGTAACTTTAACACTTAATTTTCCTGCCCTTATTCAGGGTAGAGTATATACTACGAGTTTTCAAAGAAAGAAATGTCAAATTCTAGCTCAAGGAAAGTAAAAGTGAGAGCTAGTATATAAATCAAGCCTAAATTGCACACATCATGAAAAAAATGGAGGGTACTCATCTTGTGGCAAAGAATATTACATGTATGTTGAGTGAAGATAATATGTTCCTAGGAAAATGTATAATGTAAAGTACATTATCTGTAATTTGGAAACAGAATACAGGTAGTTCTCGACTTAAAACAGTTCATTTAGTGACTGTTTAAAGTTACAACGTCACTGAAAAAAGTGACTTATGACCGTTTTTCACACTTATTACAGTTGTAGCATCCCCATGGTCACATGATCAAAATTCAGATGCTTGTTGTTGTTGTTAGTTGCAAAGTCATGTCCAACCCATCGTGACCCCATGAAAAAGCGTTCCTCCAGGCGTTTCTGTCCTCTACCATCCCCCAGAGACCATTTAAGCTCATGCCGACTGCTTCAGTGACTCCATCCAGCACCTCGTTCTCTGTCGTCCCTTTCTTCTTTTCCCTCAATCGTTCCCAGCTTTAGGCTCTTCTCCAGTGAGTCCTTCCTTCTCAATAGGTGGCCAAAGTATTTGAGTTTCATCTTCAGGATCTGGCCTTCTAAAGAGCCAGGGTTGGTCTCCTCTAGGACTGACTTGTTTGATAGCCTTGCAGTCCAAGGGACTCGCAGGAGTCTTCTGCAGCACCATATTTCAAAGGACTCAATTCTTTGGCCCTCAGCCTTCCTTATGGTCCAACTTTCACAGCCATACATTGCAACTGGGAAAACCATAGCCTTGAGTATACACACTTTTGTTGGCAGGGTGATGTCTCTGCTTTTTTAGTATGCTACAGACGCTTGGAAACATCAATTCAGTTTCTAACTATAGCCCTTAGTTTCCTGATCAACCTCAATCTGTACTAACCAGGTTTGACTGAGCTTAGAGTTGTCTTGAAATCAGCGAAAAGAGAGCAGAATATCTGCTGTAACGGTAGCTGCCGGAACTGGAAACTGAGGGATTAAAAATGTACCGCAGACACTTCCCTGAGGAAATCTTGGCTGACGTAGGAAACATTAACCTTGGATTGCCTTTTAATTTTTCAGCAGAGCGTTCTGATGACCATATCGTTTTTCTTAAAAAAGAACTTTTTTCTTTTCTGAACATTGACTTAAGCATTGATTTTAGCTTTCTTATGTTAAATTTTATTCTTTGCAAGTCTGCCTTTTAATCGCTGATATTTTTGGAACAGACATACGTCTGCAGCTGCGGCTGATAATCTGAGACATCTGTCAAAAGCATGAGAAAAAAATTATTCTCAGCTTTACATCTATCCTTTTAGACATCTTTCTTTTTTGGGGGGTAGAGATTCTTCTATTTCAGGAGACAAACTTTTGCCCAGACGAGAACTGACAGTGCAGTTTTTCTTGTTTCGAGGCCTCTTTAAAAGTCTTAATCCTATTATTTTTTATCTGCTTTTGCTCTTTATAAATAAATCACATTTATTTGTGGTTTGATATAGCTTCACTTCCGTTGTCTGAGGTTTAGTCGCCTTGGGAGGTCAGCATAGATAAGTGGATCTACGTTTGTGTGTGTGTGTGTACGCACAGATAGGTGTGTGTGTTTGTGTGTGCGGATGCTATTTTTATAGTAAGCCCTTCTTTTTCATTACATTACGCCTCCTGTCTTTCTTGTCTTTTTGGTTGCCATGATGTAAAAAAGATGTTGAGACTCTAGAAAGAGTGTAGTGAAGATCAACAAAGATGATTAGAGCATATAAAGTAACTGTGAGAGGGATCTTGGAGTCCTAGTGGACAACCATTTAGATATGAGCCAGCAGTGTGCAGCAGCTGCCAAAAAAGCCAACGCAGTTCTGGGCTGCATAAACTGAGGAACAGAATCAAGATCACGTGAGGTGTTAATACCACTTTATAATGCCTTGGTAAGGCCACACTTGGAATACTGCATCCAGTTTTGGTCTCCACAATGTAAAAAAAAATGTTGAGACTCTAGAAAGAGTGCAGAGAAGAGCAACAAAGATGATGAGGGGACTGTGGGCTGATGAACATGATGAACAGTTGCAGGAACTGGGTATGTCTAGTTTAATGAAAAGAAGGACTAGGGGAGACATGATAGCAGTGTTCCAATATCTCAGGGGCTGCCACAAAGAAGAAGGAGTCAAGCTATTCTCCAAAGCAACTGAGGGCAGGATAAGAAGCAATGGGTGGAAACTAATCAAAGAGAGAAGCAACCTAGAACTAAGGAGAAATTTCCTGACAGTTAGAACAATTAATCAGTGGAACAACTTGCCTCCAGAAGTTGTGAATGCTCCAACACTGGAAGTTTTTAACAAGATGTTGGATAACCCATTTGTCTGAAGCGGTGTACGGTTTCCTGCCTAAGCAGGGGGTTGGACTAGAAGACCTCCAAAGTCCCTTCCAACTCTGTTATTCTATTCTAACATTACAGCGGGTTACAAAATATTCCATGCTAGCACAAAATGCATCTCTAACGAAGCAATTAGCAAATTTAGCAAACGCCTGTGAAATCCAATCTCTGGGAGTCAGTTCTAGAAAGTTGGCACTTCTGTAAAAATAGAATTTGGGATTGTGGGTCAAAATGTAAAGACTCTACATTCTTTTCCAATAAATTTTGGCCTAGCTCCACAGATATTTTTGTGTAGGAGATAGACAGCAGCCAAGTAGAGTCAAGAGTTGGGAAAAAGAGCTGTGGGAAGTGAAGTCTTTCTCATGAAAGTAGAGAGCGATCTGGTAAAAATGCACTTTGCTTGAGAGACTATTCCAGATGTTAGCAGAGTAGGTTTCAATTAATCATAATCATAAGTTTATTTGTCAAGCATATATAAGATAACAGGTAAAAGCATAAACATAATTTGAATACATGAAAAGAGTAAGTAAAAAGGAATATTAGGACAGGGACGGTAGGCACCCTGGTGCTCTTATGCACGCCCCTTACAGGCCTCTTAGGAATGGGGTGAGGTCAACAGTAGACAGTTTAAGGTTAAAGTTTTGGGGGTTTGGGGAAGAAACCACAGAGTCAGGTAGTGCATTCCAGGCATTAACAACTCTGTTACTAAAGTCATATTTTCTGCAATCGAGTTTGGAATGGTTTACCTTGAGTTTGTATCTATTTTTTGCTCATGTATTGTTGTGGTTGAAGCTGAAGTAGTTATTGACAGGAAGGACATTGTGCCAGATAATTTTATGTAGTATGCTTAGGTCAATTGTCTTCGGAAACTCTCAACCTCGACAGAAAAACTGAGCAAACAGATTTAAATAACTTTTTCCTCATCAAATTGAATCAGAATACTGGTATTCCTTGACTTAATGGCCACAACGTCTGTTGTTAAGCGAGACGTTTATTAAATGAATTTTGCCCCCAGTTTACAAACTTTCTTGCTACACTTTTTAAATAAATCGCTATAGTTATTAAGTTAGTCATATGATTGATTGTTAAGTGAATCTGACTTTCCCATTGACTTTGCTTGGATCACATGACCCAGGACATTGCAATGGTCATAAATATGAGTCACTTGCCAAGGGTCTGAAGTTTGATCTTGTGACCCTGGGGATGCTGCAATGGTTGTAATTGTGACCGTTGTCCTTGTAATTTCGAACGGTCACTAAATGAATTGTTGTAAGCCAAGGACTATCTGTAGTTCAATTCAGCTGTTCAATAGAATGATGATTATGAAATTTATGGGGACAGAAGTATTTCCATAGGAAACTAAAGCAGTTCCAGTTATTTTTCAGATACTTTAAAAATGGGGAAAGGTATTTAACGTTTTGTGACATTTAAAAATGGGAGGGCCAGCATTTTTTTAATTTAGAGAGTCACGTTCCCTTCTGGCTTTCAGATCAGACCAAACTTTAAAGCAGAGGTCTTTAAACTTGGACTTCAACTCCCAGAATATGCTGGCTGGAGAATTCTGGGAGTTGAAGTCCACAAGTCTTAAAGTAGCCAAGTTTGAAGACCTCTGCTTTAAAGTTACACATTTTCTTGGCCCTTATAATTCCTCAGAACTGCTTTTCAGGTTTGGTGGCCATCTTCAGTCTAGTTTTTTAGTCTATGATAATTTTAAGAAACAGAACTAGAATGATTAATTTCCCACGTTTCTTTGAGGCTGTTCTCAGAAATCCCCTTTTCCCATATCTATTTTCTTCTCAGCAAACAACTTGAGTTCATTCTTAATACAGATACATCAAAATACAAAATTCTGATACGTCTATTGTATGAAATGAAGCCGTGGCAATGATGTGATAGCATTGTTCCAATATTTGGGGGGGGGCTGCCACAAAGAAGAAGGGGTCAGTCTATTCTCCAAAGCATCTTTGTCAGGAAGCAATGGATAGAAACTAATCAAGGAGAGAAGCAAACTAGAACTAAGGAGAAACTTCCTAACAATGAGAACAATTAACCAGTGGAACAATTTGCCTTCAGAAGTTATGGGTGCTCCATCATTGGAGGCTTTTAAGAAGATATTGGACAGCCATTTGTCTGAAATCATACAGGGTTTCCTACTTGAGCAGGAGGTTGGACTCCAAGGTTCCTTCCAATTCTGTTATTCTGAAATAAGGGCTGCCAATTTTTTAAAAAATGTAATTTTCTCTTGTTTTGTTCCCTTTTCTCTCCCCAGGCTGATGATCTTGTCATCAATCCGTCTACCACGTTGAAAGAGAAGCCGGACCCAAATGGCTTAGTATTTGGAACAGTTTTCACAGACAACATGCTCTTCATTGAATGGTCCTTCACATCTGGATGGGACGTTCCTCAGATTAAGCCCTTGGAGAATCTCTCTGTGCACCCAGCCATCTCAGCACTGCATTATGCTGTAGAAGTGAGTACAGTGATAGAATGAAGAGAAACTTCATTCTTATCTTTTGTCATTAAATAAAAAAATAATAATCATCTGGTCTTTTATAAAAAAAAAATGTGTTTCTTTTTTGTTTCAGGTCAGTGCAGAGTCTCCAAAAGTTAGTCTTTCCCAGCCTTCTCCAGCTGTGTTGGAGTTTAATTCCCCTCCATCACGACTGGCTAAGAATGATGGGAGTTGAACACATCTGGAGAACATCAGATTGGGAAAGAATGATTGATAGAGAGGGTGAGGACTGAACAGTTGAAGACAGTTCCTGAAGACAGTTTTGCTGATCTTCATCTTCTCTAGGAATAGGTAGATGAGGGGAAAAACTTGATGTCTTCCAATTTCCAATGTCCCTTGTTGGCTTCTCCTTACAGGTAGTAAGAAAATGCCAATATAGTGTCACTCACCATTTTTCTTCTTAAAAAATGGCATTTGTTGGAGATACATCAGTCATGAGAACACATGTATCACATTTTAGCTTCTTCTGAGATGGTAGTAAGTAAGTATTGTTGATGGTTTAAGCATCACACTAAACTTTAGACATACATTTTTTTTTGAATGAAGAAATACTGAGTTAAGCAACTATCACAATTTACAAATCACAGTCGCTGACTTTGCAAGACATATGAACGCCAAACCGATCCTCATCATGGTTTAGTATCATGTGTGAAACTGACCAAGAAATAGTTAAGGTTTATTCTCTAGTTTGTCAAATGGCCAAAGACACATTTGTGATGTTGTTTCTTCATTCACGATAGCTATTTAAGGCTGTTGTAGTTTATTATTATAACTGCCAATCAGTGGTGAGTTTCAAAATTTTTTACTACTGGTTCTGTGGGTGTGGCTTGGTGGGCGTGGCTTGGTGGTCGTGGTAGGGAAAGGATACTGTAAAATCTCCATTCCCACCCCACTCCAGGGGAAGGATACTGTAAAATCTCTATTCTCTCCCCAATCCAGGGGAAGGTTACTGCAAAATCCCCATTTCCTCCCGATCAGCTGGGATTTGGGAGGCAAAGAATAGATGGGGGCGGGGCCAGTCAGAATTTTTACTACCGGTTCTCCGAACTACTCAAAATTTCTGCTACCGGTTCTCCAGAACTGGTCAGAACCTGCTGAAACCCACCTCTGCTGCCAATACAGTATATGGGGGATACAGATAGGGACAATTCTTAGAATTTATCACTTCCCCAAATGCAATTCTTCACAACTGTAATATCAGTGAAGACAACAAATAAAAAAGTTACAGCTAATCAAAAAAGCAGTAAATTCTGAGAACCATACTTTATCTTCCTTAATATACAAGAAGTCCCCAATCAATGACCATCCATTTAGTGACTCTTCAAAGTTATGACGGCACTGAAAAAAGTGACTTCTGTTCAGCCCTTGCACTTATGATTATTGTAGTAAATCTTAACCCCATTATTCATGATTGTGATCAGATGTTTCACACTAACCACACCTAAACCAGGAATGGCTGCTATTTTAAGTTTGTGGAAACTGGAACTGATAATTTGCGATAAGCCTTTCAAATTCTGGTTTCTGTACAAAAAGGTGCTTCTTTGTGTTCAGATATTATAGGCTTTTCATTTAAGACCTGGTGGCTTAATGGGTAAGATGCTGAACTTGTCAATCAGAAGGTCGGCAGATCAGTTCGAATCCCTAATGCCGCATAACGGGGTGAGCTCCCGTTACTTCTCCCAGCTTCTGCCAACCTAACCTTTACGTGCTTACGAAAGCACGTAAAAAATGCAAGTAGAAAAATAGGGACCACCTTTGGTGGGACGGTAACAGCCTTCCGTGCACCTTTGGCATTTAGTCATGCCAGCCACATGACCACGGAGACGTCTTCAGACAGCGCTGGGTCTTCGGCTTAGAAACAGATATGAGCACTGCCCCCTAGAGTCTAGGAACGACTAGCACATATATGCGGGGGAATCTTTACATTTACCTTTATGCCTTCATGAGTCTTTTTGGTTTTGTGTGTCGTGCAAAGACAGCTCCACTCTGTGATTTAAGGCCAATTGACACTTATATACCCAACATTTGCAAAACTGGAGTATTTAATGATGAATGGTAAACTGCCAGCAGGAAAAAAATAATGTGTTTGCAATGTAGTGGAAGTGCTATCCTATCATGTGGGGTCATAATGGTTTGATTGTATACAAGGTATCATTCAATGCTTTGGATTCTGGAAAATCAAGACAAATTTTGAATGAGCGTTTGGCCAAGTAAACGTGCATGTGTCAGAAAGCAAATCACCCACCTGTACTGAAATGAATTGGTAACCGCCAGAAACCAGCGTGGCTACTGATCAAAGCTTTTAGGGCCCAAGGTTCCAGATTCTAGTCCAGTGATGGCTAACCTTTTTGCCGTCGCATGCCAAAAGTGAGAGGAGTGGGGGGCGGTCATGCGCGCGCGTGCCCACACCCATAATTCGATGCGCCCCGCCCCCCTGTGCATGCCCACGTGATCCTACCGAGCTCCCCCCGCTTTTGGCACGCAATGGCATGGTGAGCCCGGTAGGCCCATTTTTCGCCCTCCCCAGGCTCCAGAGGCTTTCTTGGAGCCTAGGGAGGGCGAAAACGGCCTTCCCCCCCCCCGGAGGCCCTCTGGAGGCCGGAAACAGTCTGTTTGCTGATTTCCGTTTGGACCTAGAAAGCCTCTGGAGCCTGGGGAGAGCAAAAAACAGGCCTTTCCTCCCCCGGAGGCCCTCCAGAGACTGTTTCCCAATTTCCGGTGGGCCCGGAAGCTGAAAATCACCTGGCTGGCGTGCGCATGCATGCCAGAGCTGAGCTAGGGCAACGCTCGCGTGCCCACCGATATGGCTCTGCGTGCCACCTGTGGCACGCGTGCCATAGGTTCGCCATCACTGTCCTAGTCCAAAAACATCAATGCAGGTTATATTCCATTTGTGTCAGAGCCTTAATCAAAGGCACGTTTTGGGTGCCAGAAAGTGAGGAGAAAACGTGTAGCAATTCTTTCAAACCCCTTTCTTTTTCGTCTCCCTCTATTTGCAGTGTTTGTAACGATAAAAAACTGGATCTGAATAATGAAACAAAATTTTGATTTCTGCCCTTCTAGTGTTTTTCAAAAGTGTTGGTGAGGAATCTAGACCTCAACCCTTCCCCACCCCCCACCCCTTTTTCTTTCTTTTTTTTTGGGGGAAGACTCCACTGGGATTTTTTTTTTTCATTCCTTTCTGTTTTGATTGATTGATTGATTTTAAGGTACAGGGAGTCCTTGACTTATGACAGTTCACTAAGTGACTGTTCGAAGTTACAACATTACTGAAAAGAATGACTCACGACTGTTTTTCACCCTTACAACCATTGCAGCATCCCCAGGGTCACGTGATCAAAATTTGGACCCTTGTCAATTGACTCGTATTTATGACGGTCGCAGTGTCCCGGGGTCATGTGTTCAACTTTTGCAACTTCAGTCAATGGGGAAGCCAGATTGATTTAATAGCTGTGTTACTAACTTAACAGGTGCCGTGGTTCACTTAACAACTGTGGCAAGAAAGGTCGTAAAAGGGGGCAAAGTTCACTCAACCACTGTCTCACTTAGCAATGTATTGTACATTTGGGGCTCAATTGTGGTCGTAAGTCGAGGACTACCTGTATTTATCTCGCCTTCCAAAGGGCGGTGCGATGATATATTTTTTTTCAGTCTTTCTGGCTGAGGAGATTTAGATCAAGGGTGTCAAACTCAAGGCCCACAGGCCAGATCCAGCCCACGGGGTGCTTAGATCTGGCCCACGGGGCCACCCTGGAAACAGCAAAGGACCGGCCCACAGTGCCTCTGCCGGCGAAAACAGAGCTCAGGAGGGCCTCGCGTGGCCCTCCTGAGCTCCGTTTTCACTGGCAGGGTGGTCAGGCCACCATAGGCGCTCCCGACACGAGTGTCATACCCCCCCCCACCCCCCCGAGGTCAAACACAACCCTGATGAGGCCCTCAATGAAATCGAGTTTGACACCCCTGATCTAGATGTATTCACAAAGAGCAAAGGAACCACGCTGGAGTTTCAGGCATTCTCTCTCTCTTCTGAGTAGCGTTACTGCTGTTAAACTCGCGATCTGAAATCCTCGCTGCTAACAATGAATCTGCTCTTCTTTCTTTTCTTTTTTTTGTTTTCGTTTTTGTTTCCTCATCTGCATATGTCCCCTGTTGTTTTCATTGTTTTGTTTACTTTTAAACCTCATTGCATCACGTTTTCCTCTAGCCGAGAGGAGTGACGGAAGCGAAACTGCTCCAAATGCTATGGCTCAATGAATACACAGTGGGTATAACGTGAGATGAAATGTTCCTTCTTTGTGATCTGTGACTCCTCGGATAACCTGGCCTCTGCCAGCTTTGTGGTTTGTCTAGTGGAGCCTTCCTCAGCTTGGGCACCCTCCAGATGTGCGGAAACTACCCTGTTTCCCCAAAAATAAGACCCAACTGGAAAATAAGGCCTAGCACGATTTTTCAGGATGCTCGTAATATAAACCCTACCCCCAAAATAAGCCCCAGTTAAGATTGTCAGCCAGAGGGATGCATTTTGTACCATATCCCCCCCCCAAATAAGACCTAACCAGAAAATAAGCCCTAATGCATCTTTAGGAGCAAAAATTAATATAAGACCTGGTCTTATTTTCGGGGAAACATGGTAGATTCTTCTCGATGGCCTATCCGATTCCGGGCGTTGAAGTCTAACAAGAACAAATAGGTTGAAAAACAACTTCTATCCAGTGGTGGGATTCAAATAATTTAACAACCAGTTCTCTGCCCTAATGATTTCTTCCAACAACCAGTTCACCAAACTGCTCAGAAAGTTAACAACCGGTTCTCCCGAAGTGGTGCGAACCGGCTGAATCCCACCACTAACCCCTGGAAGAGAATATTTGTAGCTCACCGTTGAACTGTGGTGTCCTTGGCTGCTTTCCGAGCTTGGCTGTTTTCTTTCAGATGTTTCATGACCTAACTTTGCATCATGGCACTGATGATGTCACCGCTGTTGGATAATGAAACATCTGCAAGAAAACAACGAAGCTCGGATCAAGGACACTATAGTTCAGCCCTGAGCTACAAATAATTCTCTCTCCGTCTGCAAGAGAACAATCGAGCTCAGAAAGCAGCAAGGATCCCAGGAAGTCTGCACAGCTGAGGGGTGGCCAGAGATTGGGAAAGACCGGTCTAGCTGGGCATTGTACTCACAAATCAGATACTTCTTCTAGTATTTGTTTCATTGGTTACACCGTTTAATAAGACTTCACAGTACTGTAACATTCCTAAAATTGATGAGTCTGCTCACAAATAGAGATCCTGTGGTTGTTTTTTTTTATTTATTTATTTTTATATGCCGCCCTTCCCTGGAGACTCAGGGCGGCTTACAATGCGTTAAGCAATAGCCTTCATACTTTTGTATATTTTATACAAAGTCAGCTTATTGCCCCCACAAACCGAGTCCTCATTTTACCCACCTTAGAAAGGATGAAAGGCTGAGTCGACCTGAGTCAGGTTTGACAGCCTGAAGCAGCAGCTGTCCACAAACCTCTGAAAGTCAGTCTCTTGACCAAGTTAAATAGTTTGAGATTGCCACTGAGTTGACGTTACCTGAACAGTTGAAATACAGAGAGCCAATGTAGGGTTTGGGCTAAATATGGAAGATTCAGATTCTGATCCATCATTAGACCAAAAAATAGGAGGAGGAAAATATTGTGTAGGCCACACTGAATGTCTAAATTAAAAGAGAGACAGGAGTTTAACAAAGAGACAATAACATAAGTAGCGACAATTGCACATGCAATTCATAAATCACTCTCACTGGATTCAGTGGAATGTATTTTCAGAGAAGTGGGAATGAAATGGTAACCTAAGGGGAATCCTATTCAAGTAATGTCACAAAGAAGAGGGAGTCAAGCTATTCTCCAAAGCACCTGAGAGTAGGACAAGAAGCAATGGGTGGAAACTAATAAAGGAGAGAAACAACCTAGAACTAAGGAGAAATTTCCTGACAGTTAGAACAATTAATCAGTGGAACCACTTGCCTCCAGAAGTTGTGAATGCTCCAACACTGGAAGTTTTTAACAAGATGTTGGATAACCATTTGTCTGAAGTGGTGTACGGTTTCCTGCCTAAGCAGGGGGTTGGACTAGAAGACCTCCAAGGTCCCTTCCAACTCTGTTATTTTATTCTATTCTAATAAAGAGGATTAGTTGAAATTAGGGGCAAGACAGCCAGGAATGTATTTGGGGGCCCTTTCTCAGGACATGTTGGTGGTCCACATCCTCCAAATTATGGAAGTTCAGCCTTTTTGGAAAGTTTATATAGACCCTAAGTTAGAGGCTGTTCATAGGCCTTATTTAGCCTATCGCTATCTGAGAGACCATAACAATACTTTTTAAAATAATAGTTATTCATATTCTCAGGGTTGTTGTTTTTTTAAAAAAACTATTACCCTTTCAATATAAAAAGATTTTCAAAATAATACAAGGTTTTCCAAAGTAAGAGGAAAAAGCAGATTTCAAAAGCATTATTTTTTGGGGGGTGGGAAAATCAAATTATTCAGACATGGTAAGAAAGTTATCCATTAAAAGCATGTAAAAAATAAAGTCATCATCGATCATAGCTAAAATCATGGAATTGGAAAGGACAATTGAGATTACCAAATTACTGCAATCTCTCTGATATATTCTGATATCACGAAGGTTTTCTGATACCTTGAGGTGTCAATATCGCTTTATACCACACCAGTGAGACCACACTTGTAATATTTTTATAATTCCGGTCATCGGGATACAAAAAGGAGGCAGAGAGACTCTAGAAATTGTACAGAGAAGAGCAACAAAGATGATTAAGGGTCTGGAAGCTAAATCACATCAGGAATGGTTGAGGGATCTAGGTATGCCTAGCCCTGACCTAGCAAAGAAAAGGACTAGAGGTGATATGATAGCTGTCTTCCAGTACTTGAGGGGCTGTCACAGAGAAGGGTGTGTTGACTTATTCTCCAAAATACCTGAAGGCAGGAGAAGAAGTAATGGGAGGAAGCTTGTTCCAACCTAGAAGTAAGGAGAAATTTTTTTGACAGTGAGAACAATTAATAAATGGAATAGCTTGCCTCCTGCAGTTGTGGGTGCTCTATCACTGGAGGTTTTCAGGAATAGACTGGACAACCATTTGACAGCCATTTGGTATTCACTTATTTTCCCTATCGGTTCACAAATGTGAGCATGCACACGTCCACGCATGTGCCTGGCCTTCCACACATGTGCTTTGCTGGTGCTCATGCCTTCCACGTGCCCAGCCTAAAAAACATGCCTAAATAGGATGGCATAGAGCCGGGGCGGGAGGTGGGGGTGCACTTGTGATTTCCGCTACCGGTTCAAGCAAATCGGTCTAAACCGGCTGAATACCATCTCTGTATAAGGTCTCCTGCCTTGAAGAGGGGGTTAGATTAGAAGACTTCCAAGGTCCCTCCAGCCCTATGATTTTACGTTCCGCGTCCCGATAGATGCCCATCCAACCTCTGCTCGAATACAATCAATAAAGGAATATTGAACACGATCACTAAACGGGGTATTCCTTACCGCCTTCGATGATTAGTTCCATTGTTAGATGTTGTCTTCTTGTAATTTAAGACCGTTTATTCTGGGCATTGAACTCTACCAAGATCCAAGAAAGAATCTTACCCTCACACCTTCAGGTACTTAAAAAGAGTTTTCATATACTTTATTTATCATCTTTTCTCAAGTTTAAATTTACTCAATTTTCTCTGTCTCTCACTTTAACTATTGTTTTCCAGTCTTTTAATTATCCTCCTTGCCGTTGTCTGCACAAATTCCAGGTTTCTATGAATCTTTATTCAAGGGTACCCAGAAATAGACTTTTTTTTAAAAAAAAAATTTATATGCCGCCCGTCTCCAGAGACTCAGGGCGGCTTACAATGCGTTAAGCAATAGCCTTCATACTTTTGTATATTTTATACAAAGTCAGCTTATTGCCCCCACAAACCGGGTCCTCATTTTACCCACCTTAGAAAGGATGGAAGGCTGAGTCGACCTTGAGCCTGGTGAGAATTGAACTCACAGTAATTGCAGGCAGCAGATGTTAAATGCTGCCTTAGTAGGAGGCATTAGCCTCCTACGCCACTCAGGCTCCTTTTACAGATGGGTGCACTGGACTATACTGAACAAGTTTTTTGTCAAGACAGTTTCCCCCATCCAGTCCTGATGCATTTGATTTCTTTCTCCCAAAAGAAGCAATTGGCGATTTCTCTATTCAGTGTCATTCTGTTAGCTTCAATCCATTTTTTTCACTTATTAAGATCATCCACATTTTTTTTCTTTTAACAATCCTTTAATCTCTTGCATCGCGGTTGGGGCGACTGGGTGAAGCTGAGTGTTTACTGATAGAATGCCCTTCCTGATGCCTACCCAGAGTTCACAGCAGATAATTACTCATTGCATCCAGAGAGAGAAATAGCTGCCTCGACCTAGGATCGAACTCACAATCTCCTGATTGTAAGGCGAGAGCTCTACTCTAGGCTATTCTAGCTCTACTCTATGCACTGCCCTATTAAGATTATCTACATATTTACTTAAAATAATAGAGTGGTTCTGCATTCTTAATAATAATAATTAATAATAAATAAATAATCATCATAATAATCATCATAAATAACAACAACAACAACAACAACAACAACAACTTGGACAACCGAGGAAAATCGAGATGCTACTCTGAACATCATATATTTTAAGAAGATACTTGGTTGATACCTAGGATGCTAGCAGCAACCCGTATCAACCATTAGTACCAGTCAATCATATTTGTGACACATCAATTGACTGAGTTTCATGTTTAATGAATAAAAGAGATAATTAATAATAGAGTTGTTCCGCACAATTAGAACTGCAGAAAAAACAATGGCTACCAACCTGCCTTCCATCGAGGATCTGTATACTGCACGAGTCAAAAAGAGGGCTGTGAAAATATCTACAGACCCCTCACATCCTGGACATAAATTGTTTCAACTTCTACACTATAGGGCAGTGGTCCCCAACCTTTTTATCGCCGCGGCCCGCTGAGCGCGCGCAGGGGTGAGGGCACGGCCCAGGAGCTTTTGCGCACGGCCCATTGCGCACGGCCCAGGAGCTTTTGCGCACGGCCCAGGAGCCTTTGCGCTGCAGCGTTCATGTCCCCCGGCCGCTGCGCGGCCCGGTGCCAGGTACTCCACGGCCCGGCACCGGTCCGCGGACCGGGGGTTGGGGACCACTGCTATAGGGCATTGCACACCAG